GGATCGGGCAGTGTTTCATTCTGCTGTGCATGGGGTCGCTATGAGTCGGAAATGACTCCACGGCACTTAACAACAACAACATCACCCATAAGTAAGAAACTCTGGTAGTTTAGTGGTTAAATCATTTGGCTGCTAGCCAAAAGGTCAGTGGTTTGAACCCACCAGCTGCTCCAAATCCACTAGCTGCTCTGCTGAAGAAAGATAAGGTAGTCTGCTTCTGTAAAGATTTATAGTCTTGGAAACCCAATGGGGATTGCTAGGAGTTGGAACAGACTCGATGGCACTGAGTTTGGTTTGGAGTTTATCACCCATAGGTACTGTACTCCTTTAAAAAATCACCTATATGAGACCAAATGGTTAATGTTCATTTTAAAACAAAGATGAGAATGCAAGGGAGGGAGCAGAAAAACTAGATTAATGGAAATGGAACAACTGGAACAGAAATAAGAATGTTCATGCATTGTGAAGAATGTAACCAGTATCACTGAACAACCTGTGTAGAAATTGTTGAATGGGATCCTAAACTGCTGTGTAAACCTTCACCAAACACAGTAAAGCATTATTTTAAAAACTAGTATACCCATCCTACCACTTCTCATCACCTCCATCACCTCCTTAGTGACTACCATGTCTTCTCTGGACTATTTTAAAGTTTTCTAACTGGTATGCTTTCTTTGTTCATATCCAACTACCATCCATCCACCATCGTAGATTCACCTTACAGAAGTCAGAGACACTTTTATACTGTAAACTACATCTGATGATTGATTATCTGATTTACATTTACTCACAAGGAACCAAGAGTTTCTTACATGACTCAAAATAAAATTAATGTATCTACCATTGTCCTGCTACTTATTATGTGTGGTAGATAAGGTTGTGTGTGTCAATTTGGCTGAGCTCAGTTCTGAGCGGCTGGGCAGCTGGATATAGTTATTTGCCATGATGAGACTGGTAATCAACTCCATGGTGGAAGCTACTGGAGCAGCTGAGTAGCTGCCTTAGGGATGTGGTCTGCCTAAAGAATATAAAAATACAGCTTTGAGAAGGTCTTTGACCTTTTTGGCATACTCAGACCCTGCATGTAGCCAAGTCTTCATTCAGCCGCCTGCCATGTTGCCTGATAATCTTGGGACTGTGCCATTATACTTTGTCAGCCTCAGTAGCCAGCAGCTGCCTTAGTTAAGAGAAGCCTCCAGCTTCAGAGGGCCAGGAGCAAGAGGCACAGATGAAATCCAAGGTCAAGGGTTCTTCACCCAGCTCCTAGAGCTGGCACTCTGAACTCAGACTTCAAGCCTCTTAACCTATAAGAGAATAAACTCCTGTTTGTTTAAAGTCATTCACCTGTGGTATTTCTGTTAGAGTGGTGCTAGAGGACCAAAACATTATGATATCATCTCCTACCAATCTCCCCCTTACACATTTGCCTCTAGCCACATTAGCTTCCTTGTCATACTTCAAACACTCTAAGATGTCTGAAGAAATGGTTCAGCGCCTGCTGTTTCCTCTACCTAGAATATTCAGAAAGCACATAGTCTGTGCTTAATTTTTTAAAGTCACAGCTCTAATTCTGACCTCATTGGAGAGACTTTCTGTGAACTCCTTGTGAAAAATAACACATGCCATATTCTTCATACTCCTTTTCCCTACTTTTAACTCTTGCTCTGGATACCTAGTGCTGCTCTGACAAGAATATATCACAAATGGGATGCCCCTAATAAACAGGAGTTTATTCTCTTACAGCTTGGAGGCTTTAAGTGCAAGTTCAAAGTGCTAGGCTCTAGGGGCTGGTTGAAAGTCCCTCAACCTTGGAGTCCAGCCCTGCCTCCTGCTCCCTGCCCATAGGTGCTAGAGGCTTTTCTTCACTCAGACAGCTGCTGGCTGCTGAAGCTGACAAACCCAAAGTTGAAAAATAAAAAGGCACAGTCCTGATGTTACCAAACCACACAGCAGGCCATTAATTCAAAGTCGGCAGAGCGTGGCAGGCTGCTGAGCAATGACACGGCTACATGCAGGGTTGAAGGGTGCCATAAACTAGAGATTATCCCCAAGGCTTCTCCTTATATACATGAAGCACACCACATCGCAAGAGCAGCTACTCAGCTGCTTGTGGTAGATCCCACCATGGAGTTGATTGCCAGTCTCATCATGGGGAATAACTCCCACCAGCTGCCCAGCCATTCAACCGGGCCCAGCCAAGTTGACATACAAATTTAACTACCACAACTCTCTTCACAGTAGTTACTAATGTAGTTTGTGTGTGTGTATGGTGTATGCACATATATGCTGAATATATGTGTGTGTTGTATGTTTTGTCCTTCACTGTATTATATACTCTATGATAACAGGGACAATATTCTGTTAATTATCTGAAACATTACTGGGTGAGTATTCATTATGTATTTATTGAATGAATATATGAAAGTACTATATGAATAAAGGGAACTCTGGTAGCATAGTGCCTAAGGCACTTGACTGTTAACCAGAAGGCTGGTGGTTCAAACCCACCAGACACTCCTCGGAAGGAGATGGGGCAATCTACTCCGTATTGATACTGCCTCGGAAACCCAAGGAGGGGTCGCTATGAGTCGGGTCCAACTCGACGGCACATAACAACAACAACATATGAATAAATGCCAGTTTAACAAAAAGTATCCAAAAGCAAGGAAGGGAAGGGAAACAATTTTAAAAGCTAGAGAACGAAAAACTAATCAAGAAAAAATATCTAAATGAAGCAGACTAGGTTTGGATTATGGGTACGGGTAAATTCCTCTAAAATTTCAAAGACAAAAATAAAGCATTTATGAGTGAGAATGACATATGGAGGAGTGATGTAGGTACTTGAGGTATGTGAGTCAATTGTGCTTACAAAGTCTGTGGCTCCAAAAATAAATTGCTGAAAAATATTCCAAAGGTGGTAAACCTTAAACTGTGAACTATGATCTAATTTCCTCTGCCTAGAAACTCATTAACTCACCTGGATGGCACAGGCTTGAGAATTCCTCCTCTAATATCCAGGGTTCTTCTCCTTGCTCTATTTTGAAGATCACCTCTGGCTTAGTAACACAATACCCTGTTAAGGAAAGATAATACAAGCATGGGCTAAACACCTTGGCTCCAGGGACTCTGGAAAAATGATGAGGAAGAAAGATAAAGCTATCCAAAGAAAGTGTCAAAATGAACCAACTGCTGGGGAGGATACGAACACTGTATTTTTTATGGTGGCCAAAAGGACTCAGTCAACAATTCAGAATCCTGAATGTCAATCTTCAAATCAGAAAATTCTATAGGCAGGTCACATGTTTCAGCAAATAAGTGCATGCTACTGATAGTCACATGGGAAAACAAAATCCTTACCTACTGAGACAAAGTGGCTATAATTTTCCAGGATCACATCTCTGTAGAGAATCTTCTGAGCAGAGTCCAGCAGATACCATTCTTCCTGGGTGAAATCCACACACACATCCTTGAATGACACTTGTTCCTGTAACAGCATATTCCTTTTCTATATGAAGTAGTCATAACTAGATGATATGGAGAAGTTTTAAAAGAACTAATCTATGAGTTTACTGAAAAATGATGCATAGAATGCTTACTACATACCTTGCTTTGTTTTATACTTAGTAGGATAATGGTAGCATAGTGGCTAAGACACTTGCCTGCTAACCAGACGGCTGGCGGTTCAAACCCACCAGCCACTCCTCGGAAGGAAGGTTGGGCAATCCTACTTCCGTAGTGATACTGCCTCGGAAACCCAAGGAGGGGTCGCTATGAGTCGGGGCCGACTCGACGGCACATAACAACAACAACAACAGGATAATACAAAATATAGTGTAGAAATTAGTTTTCCACTAAGCGCCTGGAACTGTCCTAGGTTCTGAGAATACTATTAATGAAAACAAATTTCCTATTCTCCAAGTGTTTATAATCTGATAAGGAGACATACATATTAACACACACTAAAATAAGACTTGCAGGAGTTAGCAACATGTACAAAATAGACTGGAGTTACAGAAGAAAAACTAGTTCTATTTTATATTATCAAATTAATTTACATTAGGGAAGTAAAATTTTTAGTTATTAAAATGAATAACAAGATTGAAATGAATAAGGAGTAGGCCCTTACTAAGTTCAGTTCATGACTACATTAAAGTGACTAGCCTCCATTCTATCTAACTCAGCAAAGGAAAGGATGAATCCTCTCTACTGAAAAAGTCCATTTTCTAGAGCCTCTACAGGTTTATTTTAAAAACACAATGTCTGGTACCCTTTAAAAGATTTCTTAGTATATGAAGAGGCAGGGCTGAAGAAAAATATAGACAATAACAATAGACCCACAGGTGACGCAGGTATTGGAATTAGTAAATAAGAACTTTAAAATGATTTATTTTGTTCAATCACCACCATTATCCATTTCCAAAGTGTTCTATCACCCTTTATAATAAAAATAATTAGTATCACTAAATTGTACATATGAAGAATGGCAACTACACATGAAATGGCAAATATTTTGTAACACACATATTTACCACAAAAAAAGTAAATAAATTATAAAAATAAATTATGATTAGTATGTTCAATAAGACAGTTGCAGACCTCAACAGTTCTCTGTGAGTACTTGATAGATCAAGCAGGCAGAACATCTATGAGGAAACAGCAGCACTATCAATCAACTTGATCTGACTTTATAGAGTACACCATCCAAAACATAAGAGTAAACATTCTACTTAAGCTCATATGAAACATTGACCAAGACTGACCACACCTTGGGTCACAGAACACTTAACAAACTTAAAACAACAGAAATCATAAAAAATTTGTTTGCAGACTACAATAGAATTAATAGAAATCAATAAGCATGGGATAGCTACAAAACCCCCAATATATGGAAATTAAGCAATATATTTAACAAATAACATAAAGGTTAAAGATATTTCAGTAACAATTTTAAAACATTTTAAACAAACAAAAAAAGATGAAACTAACAGTTATCAACATTTGTGAGATGCAGTGAAAGAGGAAAAATGCCCAAAACAGGAAGATTTAAAATCAGTAACCTAACTCTGGTGGCAAATAACAACAACAACAACTCTGGTGCTAACCAGAAGGGTGGTGGTTCAAACCCACCAGCCACTCCTTGGAAGGAAGATTGGGCAATCTACTTCCATAGAGATACTGTCTTGGAAACCCAAGGAAAGGTCACTATGAGTTGCAATCTACTCGACAGCAGTGAGTTTTGGTTTTTTTTTTTTGGCTTAAGCTCCCATCTTAGTAAAGTATATAACAGAGGAGCAAATATGGCTAAAGAAAGAAGAAGAAAGGAAATAATAATTGTAGCATAAATCAATAAAATTGAAAATAGAAAAAAAAAAAAGAAAAATCATTGAGACCAAAAGTTGTTTCTTTAAAAAGATCAATAAAATTAATGAACTTCCATAAAAGCTAACCAAGAAACAAGAGAAAAAATAAATTAACAATCTCAGAAATGAAAGAAAAGTCAACATTACTGATCCCTTGGGCATTAAGAGGATAAATAAAGAATATTACAAACAGTACTTAGGTTGAAAAATCGACAGATGAAATGAACCAATTCCTTAAAAAGTAGAACTAGCAAATTCACACAAAGAGAAATAAACCAACAAAATCCCTTGCTATCAAGTCATGTCTGACTCATAGAGACCCTACAGGACAGGACAGAACTGTCCTATGAGATTTTTAAGGCTGCAAAACTTTACGGAAGCAGACTACTACATCTTGCTCCTTCAGAGTGGCTGGTGAGTTCAAACAATCAACCTTTTGGTTAGCAGCTAGGTGCTTAAACACTGGATCATCAAGGCTCTTTACAAGAAGAAACAGATAACCTAAATATACCTATATCTATTAAAACAAACAAAGAATCAATAATTAAGACCCTTCCAGAGAGGAAAGCACCAAGCCCTGATGGTTTCATAGATGAATTTTACTAAGAAATAGTATCAGTTCTTTACATTTGTGTCTAGTAGACAGAGGCTGAGGGAACACTTACTAATTTAATCTATATTTCCCAGACATAACCAAACACAATGCAGGATTTGTTACTGGGTTTGAAGACTTAGTTAGGATCATAGTCTTGTGGGACAACCCAGTCAACTGGCGCAGCCTATGTCATAAAGTTTATGTTCTACATCCTAATTTGGTCAGCAGTGTCTAGGGTCTTAAAAGCTTGTATGAAGCCATCTAAGATACAACTCTTGGTCTCATTTGGAGCCAAAGAGAAAGAAGGAAATCAAAGATTCAAAGAAGAAACTAATCTACAGGATTAACTGCTTACACAAAACGACAGTCTCATTTATCTTGAGACTAGGAGAACTAGATAGTTTCTGGCTACCACAACTAACCATTCTAACCAGAGACACAATCAATGGTCCAGATAGAATAAGAAAAAATTATAGAACAAAATTAAAATTCTTTAAAACAGCAACAAAAAAAAAGGCCACATTTACTGGACTGGTAGAGACTAGAGGAACCCTTGAATCTACTGCCCTGAGACACCCTTTAAACTTTGAATTAAAACCACTCCCAGAGGTCAGAGGTCACCTTTCAGCTAAATAACAGATCAGCCCATGAAACACTAAGAATATCACCCGTGAATACTGTGCTCCTTAAAAAAAAAAAAAAAAAAAAAATCATCTATGAGAGAAAATGGACAATATTTGCCCTAAAAAGGTAGGACAGAGGAGGCAGGGAACTAGATTAGATTACAGAAACAGAACCACCAGAATGGAAATAACAAGAATGTTGGCATGATGTGCAAAATGTAACCAATGTCACTGAACAATATGTATGTCGTTGTTAGATGCTATCAAGTCAGTTCCTAGTCACAGCAACTCTATGAACAACAGAGAGAAATTCTGCCCCGTCCTGCACCATCCTCACAATCACTATCATGCTTGAGCCCATCATCACAGCCACTATGCTAATCCATCACACTGAGAATCTTTCCCTTTTTCTCTGACCCTCTACTTTACCAAGCATGGTATCTTTATCCAGGGATGGCTCCATTCTGACAACATAACCAAAATACATGAGACAAAGTCTGGCCATGCTCACTTTTAAGGAACATTCTGGCTGTACTTCCTCCGAGACAGATTTGTTTTGTCTTGTAGCAGTCCATGGTTTATTCAATATTCTTTACCAACACCACTTTCAAATATATCAATTCTTCTGCAGTCTTCCTTATTCACTGCCCAGCTCTCACATGTGTATTGAAAATACCATGGCTTGGGTTCATCTTTGCTCTTTAACAATTTAAAAGTCTTTTGCAGCAGATTTGTCCAATGCAAATCTGAACCCACTATTGTTTGATTTCCCGACGGCTGCTTCCATGGGCATTCATTGTGGACTGAAGTAAAATGAAATCCTTGATGATTTCAATCTTTTCTTAATTATCATTATGCTGCTTATTGGTCCAGTTGTGAGGATTTTTGTTTTCACTATGTTAAGGAATCCATACTTGTGGTCCAGTGAAATACTTAATATATGGCTCTTCCAGCCATGGTCTCTTTGTGACTCCCACCAGATGACCAGGTGGAATGATGCAAATATGAGGTGCTTGTGGCCCACCAAGGGTATTGGATAGCTTGTTAATAATGTAAAAAGTTATATGACACTCTTGTGGGTGTGGGACTGTGCAAATAAGGTATATGGAACCCTAATGTGGGGACTGGTCAGTTTTGCCATCCCACTAGACTTAGAATGAGCCATCCCAGAAGTGGAAGGGGGATCTCATTACCATCAGGAAAGAGCAGCCAGGAATGGAACACATACTTGGACCTGAAATTCCTGCACTGGACCTCTTTGGCAGAAAGATGGGAGAGAGAAAGCAGAGAGATGGCAAAAACAGAGGCAGTACAAACAGAAGACCTGCATGAGACAAAGCAGTGGGCTTGTCAGCCCATGGAGTGAGAAAGCTGAGTGCCTTCAGGCAGGAGGCTTACTGGCAGAGTGGGGTGCATGTAAATGGCAGAGCTAAAAGACCTTTGTAATACATTCCTGAGCAGAACAGAAGCCAGGCTGACAGGCCAAGAGCGAGAGAGGGATGTCTGTGAGGATGGCCATGGGGCCATGATCGGAGTAATTGTATCCTAAGCATTCCTGAATCTGAACTGTAACCTGGTACTTCCTTAACAAACCTCATTAATTTTGAGTATTGTCTGTGAGGTTCTGTGTGGCTATTGCAATGAATTATGGAACCCAGCAGGAAAGTAGAGTGCTGTAGGAGGGAAAGTTGGTATCAGAATTCGTAAAAACGTTGGAGAGGGTGTTGGCAAGTCTGACCTCGACTTCACAGGAACCAGTCAGGTTATGCTGATGGCAATTCTCTCTCCCTTTGGTGAAGTTAGAAGAGGTCAGGGGTTGCTGCCCCCACGACATTTTAGCAATATTGAAGGCTGTACGTGCCTACAAGTCTTCATCAGTTAAGTGCTTCAAGTCTTCATTTTCAGGAAGCAAGATTGT